ACATCTTTTCTTTTGGCTTACTCCAAATCTATTAGCACAAACCAAGAGGATCTTTTATTTTGACTATCGTACAGAATATCACGACGCATAATTTGAAAAAATTTAAGATTTTATCATTTACATTTGTGGAGATATATGGAGAATAAATTATGTTGCAAACACTCCGAGACATCTAGTATTTGCGTTACATTCTCTCGCAAATGAAGATTTCTTCATGTTTTCCATCATTCCTCTCCTATCAATCTTCTGTATAATTCGGCTGAAAGGATCCTCAAACGGCTGAAACTTGCACTATATTCTGTTGCAATCTGTTGATAAGGATGATAATGCCTGTACTTGGATGGAACGTAAATGAATGAAGAAGGAGAAAGACGGCATTCTTTGATTCATCTAGCGATTTAATGCAGCTCTTCGATCCCCACAGTGAAGTTTGTTGTAATCCATTCAAGTTTTTAGGTATTGAAAGATGTAATAACAAGTCGAAATTTTTTCACGAACAATGTATTTTCTTTTGAATTCTGAGAGTTCTAATGCTTTTACACAACAATTCCACATAAATTGAATAAGGTTTATATAATGCATGTCGTGCAATTCCTAGACTTCTAGAATAGCGATCGTAACATTAGAATAAAAAATAAGACATCCGAATGCTATTTCTATGTTTGAGAATACTGGATAGGTTTCCGGAGCTTTTTTCGGAAACGCAAGGGTTCTCTGAAAATTCGAAAACCCTGAAGGGTTTCCAATAGATGTTTGGAAACCATGCTCAACCTTTCGGAAACGCTTCCACCCTTTTCGATGCTCGGAAACCCAAAAAGGTTTTCGATAAAAAAAATATCGGAAACGCAAAGGTTTTCGAGAAGGTTTTTAAATCAGAGAAGGTTTTCGGGGATAACTTTCGGTTTTCAAAAAGAGCACCAGGGTTTCTGAGAATACGGTTGAGGGTTTCCGGACCTATATTTCGAAAACTCATAGGTTTCCGGATACTCGGAAACCTTGAAGGTATTTTCAGAAACTTAACATGAGTCCGGAAACCTTCCCGGATACGTTCAAGGGTTTCGGAAACGGTTTCTGAAGGGGTTTCGGTTTCTGAGAAAACGTTTTTTTTTTAGAGTGTAGATTTGATGTTATGATATAAAAACAATTATTTATTTCTTTTTTGATTATGCGTTCATCAAGATATGCATGTTTAGGTAACTCTGAACTTCTATAATAGAAAATATTCTTGACTTTTTTATTTTAGGCTCATCGACATATACACATTAAGTAAGTTTCAACATCTATAATATAAAATATTATTGGCTTTTTTATTTTAGGTTCATCAAGATATACACATTTACTTACGTTTGATCTCATCATAAAAAAGCAATTATTTCTTTTTGTTTTGATTATAGGTTCTTCGAGATATGCGTGTTTACGTAGGTTCGATATTATGACATAAAAACAATTATTTATTTATTTTTTTGACTATGCGTTTATCGAGATATGCATGTTTACGTGAGTGCGAGCTTTTATAATATAAAACATTATTCACTTTTTTATTTTAGATTCATCGAGATATACACATTTAGGTAACTTTCAGCGTATTATATAAAAAGAATTATTTATTTTGTTTTTACTTTAGGTGCTTCAAGATACACACATTTACGTGGGTTTGATATTATGATATAGAAACAATTATTTATTTGTTTTTTGCTTATACGTTCATCAAGATATGCATGTTTACGTAAGTTTAATCTTATGACATAGAAACAATTATTTTTTTTTCTTGATTATAGGTTCATCAAGATATGCATGTTTCGGTAAGTTTCAACTTTGATGATATAAAATATTATTGACTTTTTTGTTTTAGGTTCATCAAGATATACACATTTACGTAAGTTTATTCTTATGACATAGAAACAATTATTTATTGATTTTTTTTCGATTATAGGTTCATCGAGATATGCATGTTTCGGTAAGTTTGCACTTTTATAATATAAAATATTATTGACTTTTTTTTTAGGTTCATCAAGATATACAGATTTAGGTAAGTTTGTTCTTACCTTATAAAAACAATTATTTATTTATTTTTTTGATTATAGGTTCATCAAGATATGCATGTTTCGGCAAGTTTGAATTTTTATAAAATAAAGTATTATTGAGTTTTTTATTTTAAGTTCATCAAGATATGCACATTTACATAAGTATATTCTTACGTTATAAAAACAATTATGTATTTATTTTTTTGATTATAGGTTCATGAAGATATGCATGTTTCGGTAAGTTTGAACTTTTAGAATGTAAAATATTATTGACTTTTTTATTTTAGGTTCTTCAGGATATGCATGTTTACGTAAGTTTAATCTTATGACATAGAAACAATTATTTAGTTTTTTTTTGATTATAGGTTCATTAAGATACGCATGTTTCGGTAAGTTTGAACGTTTATAAAATAAAGTATTATTGACTTCTTTATTTTAGGTTCATCAAGATATACACATTTACGTAAGTTTATTCTTACGTTATAAAAACAATTATGTATTTATTTTTTTGATTATAGGTTCATTAAGATATGCATTTTTCGGTAAGTTTGAACTTTTATAATATAAAATATTATTGACTTTTTTATTTTAGGTTCATCGAGATATGCACATTTACGTAAGTTTAATGTTATGAGATCAAAACAGTTATTTATTGTTGTTTTGATTATAGGTTCTTCGAGGTATGCATGTTTACGTTAGTTGAATCTTAGTCGAAGAAATTCTGTATTTTTGTTATTGTAGTCTGATGCAATGATGTAAATATTGGAGTATGTTTTGTGTCTTGAAGTTGTTTGTATTGATTTGTTTCTATGTTTTAGGTCTTTTGAAATGTGGAATGGATCGTTGGCGGTGATTGTAAACGTCTGGTGCCGTCGGTGGTGTGCATGCCATTTGAAGTCTTTCTGAGAACACAAAGATGGTATATACCAAATCAATGAAAAGTATGTGGGAAATAGTCTACATAGTAGTTTTGCAGTATTGATGTGGAAAATTACTCTATAGATTATTTCGACTTACATTTGATTCGTTTGATGTATACAAGCTTTGGATTTTGCGAAATACTCGAAACGGTATGGATACCACCGACGGTAGCAGTCGGTTCTGTGAAATTTTGGCTGTGGAAGTGTGGAACAAAGTTTAGTTCAGATAATGTTGTACGAAACCTTTTATAAAGATTGCTAATAGAAGCTCAGCACGAAACTCTCGGTACGGAACCTTACTTTTCTGTTTCTGGAATAGGTTTTGTACAGAACCTTTTCTCCCGAACCTTTTTTCTACTTTCGTCAAATGGTTTTGTACGAAACCTTTGATACGAAACCTTTACTCCATTTATTAAATTATGGTTGAGTGCAAAACCTTTGCTGCGGAACCTTTATTGCAATTTTTGAGGTATAGTTTAATGCCGAACCTTAATTTTTACAGAACCAAGAAAGGATCTTACCGTGTATTGAGGATAAGATCCTTTTTAGGTTCTGTAAAAAACCGTTCTTTTTAGAGTGTGGGTGTGAATGGATGTGGGTGTGAATGGATGTGGGTGTGGGTGGGTGTGGGTGTGGGTATTAGTGTGTCTTAGGGACATCCATACCTACACCCACCCACAGCCACAGCCACACCCCATACCCAAACTCACACCCACAGCTACACCCACACCCACAGCTACACCCACACCCCACAGCTACACCCACACCCAGCCACCCACACCCCACAGCTACACCCACATCCAGCCAGCCACACCCTGACGATCTACCTTTAATTTTAACTACAGATGCTAGTAACATTGGAATAGGTGGCGTTTTACAGCAAGAAATAGATGGCAATATCCATAATTTGTATTATCACTCTCAAACTATGACACCCTGTGAGAGAAAATATAGCACAATAGAGAAAGAAGCTCTAGGTATTTAAAAATGTATTGAGCGTATGCGATTGTTTACATGAGAACGTAGCCTCATCATTATGACTGATCATTGTCCATTATGCTATATAATGCAAAAGACAATTAAAAATGCTAGAGTAAATCGATTAACGCATTTGATTCAGGAATATAATATTGATAAAGTTGTTCATATTCGAGGTCGTTACAATTGTTTACCTGATTACCTTTCTGGGTATTCTAAAGAACAAGATGATGAGTTGAATGACATTGAATATGGCTTAGGTAGTAAAAATCTTTCATTATTATCTTCATTAAGATCTTATGATAAGAAATTCAAACTTTATTCAAGAGAATCCTCGGATAATCAGAATGTTTTAGCTACTATGACTTTAAGACCACGTAAAAATCAAACTAAAATTTCTAATGATACTAGCCATGCTGTTACCAACACCGATTCTCATCAAGAATTCGATATAGTGTCTCATAAACAAGATATAAAAAAGAGAAAAGTAACATCAAATATTTCACAGAATTATTTCGATACAACAAAGTTGAAAATTGCACAGAAACAAGATCCTGATATACAAAAAATAGTTAGAAATTTCAACTTAAAATCTAATCGACTTTCATTTGTATTAAAAGATGATATAGTTTATAAATTAATTAAGTTAAATAAACCTTCTACAAAACAAATTGAAGTTATCTATTTACCTTCTTCTATGATAAATTCATTGTTATCAGCGTGCCACGATGATCCGATGTCAGGTGCTCACTTTTCTACAGACCAAATATATTATAAGGTTCGCAATCATTTTTGGTGGCCGCGCATGAAGAGCACCATCGAACGTTACGTAAAAGCTTGTCGTTTGTGTAAACAATTTAATATAAGTCGTCATAAAAGATCTAGTCACTTACGTTCTATATCACCACCCGATGGACCGTTTGCTTTAATAGGCATGGACTACTGCGGACCTTTGCCAAGAACTCCTCGTGAGAATCAATATGTCCTTGTCATAACTGACTATTGTACTCGATATGTAACAGCAATTGCGCTCCCAAATTGTACAGCAGAAACTACAGCACAAGCTTTTTTTAATGAGTATATCTGTAAATATGGTATACCATCTGTTATACTAAGTGATCGAGGATCACATTTCCAAAACAAATTAATGGAAAATTCACAGAAACTCATCGGATATAACCATATCTATAGTACACCTTACCATCCCCAATCAAACGGAGTTGTCGAGCGTTTTAACGCTACTTTTGTAACTCAAATATCGAAGTTACAAGACACTCAGTATAATAACTGGGATGAATTCCTTCAGGTAGTTGTTTTCGCTTACAATACAGGCGTTCATAAATCAACTAAGTTTTCACCGTATGAACTTTTATATGGTGGTCCTGCTCGTTTACCTTTTCATAGACAACCTACGCAATTTACATTTGATAAACCTGTTGATTATTTCGAACAATTAAAAAAGACCTTACGTATATTTCATCAAGCATCTAAAGATAATATCTTACTTCAACAACAAGCAACAAATATCTATTATAATCGACATCGGTGTAATCCTGAATTAAAATCAGGGGATAAAGTTCTAACTCGTGTTTATGGATCGAAAGGAAAATTAGATCTCAAATTTTCATCTATACCTAAAGTTGTTGTTGAAGTTCACCATCCAATATACGTAGTAGAAGATGAAAGTACACGTATAACATCACAGATACACATAGATGATCTTCGACCGACTCTTTCTAAATATGCTATACTATTTAAAAAAAAAATATATCTATTAGTATTTACTTCTTGAATATTTTCATTAAACTAATATAAGTTTCTTATTGTTCATCTTATCATTCGTTATTTTTAATAGTACTTTTTTCTTTGGACTATGGATATAATAAGTCTTAATACCTATTCTAACAGCGAAAGTGTAAAAGCTTGTTGAGTTGTATTAATTCCCTATTATCGGATTTATGTGATACTATGGCGCCGTAAAATCACATAATAGGTTACAGTCGTGATGTTATAAATAATCTCGAATGATTTGTGTTGAGAAAAAGAAATAAGACTTAAAATAAGATTATAGTTAGTATTTTTTAATGATTTCATTTATTTACTATTTCTCTTTTTTTTTCATTAATCTGTTCGATTGTCATCATCGCCTCACATTTTTTTGGTAAATACTCATTGATCACTATACATCTCACAGTCTTTCTATTACTTGATTTAATATATTAATATCTGTGATAATGAATAATTCATCATCTAATGTTCAATCATTTTTGATAATTTCGGACAGTTATGGTAAATCTTTAGGTTCTATTAATATCACATCTCATTATAGAATTGAAAATTATTCATTTTCTGGTCTTCAATGGATCAATAATTACAATTCTAAATTATGTGTTTATTCTTTGATACAAAACGAACCATTTGTTTCTTTATTACATTCAATGTCTTCTGCCCTATTTCTTATCGGAACAAATTCAGTTCGAAATTTTTCTGCATTAGAAATTATTGATCAACTTAATCACATCTTCACTTTCCTTTATTCTCGGTATTCTCGTTTGAGAAACCGAAAAATAATTATCACTTCATGCATTCCTTGCTTAAAAACCTCAAAACGATTTTCTACAAGAACAATGTTAATGAATAATATTGATTATTACAATCAATTATTATTTACACTTTCTCACAAGTATAATTTCCTTTACTTTGATCTTCAAATACCAACATATTGGTTAGGACCTGATATGATGCATGTTGGATATCAATATCATTATGATTTTTCTAATATTCTTCTAACCTATATAAATTCTTTACATACAAGTAACGCTCATCTAACGATTCGCTCACCCTTTTCTGAAAGAAAAAGAATATTAGAATTAATACTTTCTCAGTAAATAAAAGAAATATTCTGAGTTTTTGTTTATTTTTTTCTAAAACTATGCTGCCTCTCATGTAATTTTCTTAAATTTAAAATAAAGTAATGCATTTTGAGACATTCTGTTTTTATCGAAATGTTCTTTTAAATAGTTCTTCTCTTCGATTAGAGTTTATTCTGTTGTTAATTGAAGTCCCATAGATGTACTTTGTGGCATCTATAATATTGCTCATATCTTCATTCACATTTCTTTTTTATAATAATCTTTTGATGAAAAATTTTGTGCAACATATATATATTTTTGTCAAGTTTTGAAAAAATAATGATTAACTATGCAGTTTTATTTTTATTTATTCCCTCGACTGAAGGGAGGGTCATATGAAAAAAATTAAATGCGTTTGTATGTATGTATGTATGTATTCTTGTGGCCGGGTCAAAGGTCAAAGGTCAAAAAAACATTTTTTTTGAAAAATTTTTTTTTAATGCAGAAACAGACTTTTTGAGAAAAGATAAATTTTTTCGAAAACATCTGAAATTTTTTTGAAAAAAAATTTTTTTTCAAAAACAGGACTTCAGATGGTAACTTTGGCGCTTCATAACTTTCTCTAGGAATTATGTATGGCTCTCAAATTTTTACTGTTAATAGGACACTAAAAGATGTATCCCTCCTGAAGGTTTCAGCTATCCATGCTGTTTCATTTGCTCAGGGCAGTCCCGTGAAAAACAGGAATTTTGATAAATGTGGTAACCTTCAGAATAGGTTTTCTCCCAAGATATGGATTGTCTGGGGCGTTGATTATTAGAACTTGGAAGTACTCTCTTTGGGCTGCAATTCTGTAAAAAAATTAGCGTGGGATCTCCAAGAACGACTCCAGGGCACTTAGTGCAAAATACGAAAAAATGAGCCTTTTTCTATGGGAAATCTACGCAAGTGCACTTCGAAATTCCTCCAAGGATTCTACTATGTGACATAAATTTTATATGGTAAAAATCAGTAACTAATTCTCTATTAGTCTGTATCGAAATATCCTTTGAAAATGAAAAAGAAGATTTTTACGAAAAATCGTCCTAGGGGGGTGCAGGGGCTGTGAGAATAAAATGTTAAAGAAAGGCCTGGAAGGGGGTAGGGGGATTTTTTGGTAAAAATTTTCTTTTTCATTTTGAAAAGATATTTTGATATAGGGCAATGGAGAATTTAATGCTGATTTTTACTACATAAAATTTATACCACATACTTAATTCCTTGGAGGAATTTTGAATTGCACTTGAGTAGATTACTATAGAAAAAGGCTCATTTTTTCGTATCTTGCAATGATTGCCCTGGGGCCGTTCTTGGAGATCCCACGCTAATTTTTTTACAGAATTGCAGCCCAAAGAGAGTACTTCCAAGCTCTAATAACCAACGCCCCACATAATCCATATTTTGGGAGAAAGCCTATCCTGAAATTCCCCACATTTATCAAAATTCCGTTTTTCACGGGGCTGCCGTGAGCAAATGAAACTGTATGGATAGCTAAAATTTTCAGGAGAGATACATCTTTTAGTGTCCTATTAACAGTAAAAATTTGAGAGCCATACATAATTCCTAGAGAAAGTAATGAAGTGCCAAAGTTACCATAAATGGACCTTTTTTCATATATTGAGTACTTCATAAAATTCCAATGGCTCAATATTTCAAAACGAAAATTTTATGGAAAATAGAATTCAGCGAGATGCATGAGAATAAAAAAATTCAGCTCATTTGGTTGAACTATTCATGAGATATTGTTGCATTAGGACCCCCATTTGTATATATGGTCATTTTTAGGCCCTTTCGTATAATGCTCATAAAAAAATCGAGGGTTCAATATTTTTTGAACCGGTTTGCGTCAAAAATCATAAAACTCTTCCCTCTATAACATATCTTAAATTGAACAAGTTCTGATGATATCGATTCAGCAACTTCGGTCGTTGCTTACATGGACTGGTTCTTAAGGCTTTTCGCCGTTTTGGTGAAACTTTGATATAGGTCATCGAGGGTCCTGAATCCGAATCCGAATCCGAAGTACATTTCTTTGGTTGACGTTTCATTGGTCGGGAGTCGGCCAATCAGAAATCAACTTTTTTATTTTAAGACTTTTTGCTCTTTTGATGGAACGTTACTAAGGAATCGAAATCTTTGTTTTGCACGTAGTTCTCTCGACTGAAGGGAGGGTCATACGAAATAAAATGCATTTGTTTGTTATCTTGCTTAATTGGGGTGAAAAAAACATATCAGAGAGGTTAGCATATGTTAAGACTTTTGGTCGTTTTGAGTGAACTTTGCTATAGGTTATCGAGGGCCCTGAATCCGAATCTGAAGCCCATTTTTTTGGCCGAGGGTTCATTGGTCGAAAACCGACCAATCAGAAACGAACTTTCTTATTTTTTGTGGCAGGTCAAAAAAACATTTTTTTTTCGAAAATTTTTTTTAATGTACAAACAGATATTTTTGAGAAAACTGCATTAATATTTTCTTAATGAGGTATTTCGATAAGACTCTGATTTTTCAGCTGCAGGATGAAATTGAAGAAATTAGAAATAGTTCACAACGAAGCTTTGGTTTAGAAATCCCGGTCGAGAATTCTCATGCTATAGATCTAATGGTTTTTCGAATTAAGCCGAGTTTTGGATTAGATGAAGTATGAATAAAAAGATGGTGCTGTGGAGAAATTGAACGAAACATAGCAGCGGCTGGTCGTGAGTGGCGCTCCTGAGGGGCGCCGACGAACGACTAGCCGCTGCACTAGGAAGTCTCTTAAAGAAATGCTTCGAGCTGCTGGTATTCATCAAATAGACATGAAGAGTCTAGGTCATACGGGTTTGAATAAGGAGTAGCAGTTGCTAAAAACTGAGAAATATTTTGAAATGAAGTGTGAGAACGCCTTTTCTGCACGTGTGCGGTATTTGAATAGTACATTTGAGGGAAAACATTATTTATAGAATTTATATTCGTTCTATCGGAATGCTATTTGAATGAAATAAACGGGGGTTTCCTTGGTGGGATGCTTTCTTGTTGATACTGATTCAAATGTCAAAATGTATATGGATATATTGAAATTACCTATCTAGTCTGGTGGCTAATATGAGTAGGAGCTTCTTCCAAGTGTGGCAGTCCGATTATAGACCAGACCTAATATGATTAATTGTAAGCTAGAAGTTCAAGTAAGTCCTATTTTTCTAGTGGGCGCTCTAGTAAACAATATTGTCGGCAGATGTGTCAGTAAGGGAACGAACTTATAGTAGAAATTTTAAGGAGTATGGCGCGTTTTCACGAAAGTGCCGCGAATGAGCTTTGTTTCATTACCTTTCAGATAGCTGAATATAAGCTCCTTTTTTGGGTACATATGGATATCGTCGTCATAGTGTGGTTCCTTAGATTTATTGTTGAGTGTCAATGTGAGGGTATCAATTTCATTGGATGCATTTGTGACAAAATATTCATCCGGGCCCGCATACAATTATGCACAATGAGATTGACGTCAATGCCAGCGTACACATACCTACCCGCCCTTTTGGAACATCGGATACTAGCTGGGTTGAAGACTGTTGATTGGAAGAAAAAATAGAAAGGGCCGAATATGCAGTCGAGGGTCAAGCGAGTCACACAGACTAGCGTTACTTGTTTATATTACTTATTTTTGACTTATAATAATTTTTAGTTAATAGAACAATTAGCTGTAGAAAATAACTACAATTTTCTTTGGAAAAAAGAAAGTCCTAGTAGATTTTTCTCGTTTGTAGGAAAGTACTTAGATAGGGAAAAAGAGTTAGATTCTTTACAAAAGTCAATATGAATTCATTGTCGATTTTTTAATTAAAAAAAATATGAAAGCTTGGATTTCTATTCTTATCGAATACCATAGTTTTAAGAAAGTGAAATATTGGTAATGAATTCATAGAAA